TTGCAGTACAGTCAGGTAGACATGACCTTGCAGTACAGTCAGATAGACACTGCCTTGCAGTACAGTCAGGTAGACACGGCCTTTACAGTACAGTCGGATAGACACGGCCTTAACAGTACAGTCGGATAGACACGGCCTTTACAGTACAGTCAGGTAGACACGGCCTTTTCAGTACAGTCGGATAGACATGGCCTTGCAGTACAGTTAGGTAGACATTGCCTTGCAGTACAGTCAGGTAGACATGGCCTTGTAGTACAGTCAGGTAGACATGGCGTTGTGGAACAGTTAGGTAGACACTGCCCTGTACAGTCAGGTAGACATGGCCTTGTAGAACAGTTAGGTAGACACTGCCTTGCAGTACAGTCAGATAGACACTGCCTTGCAGTACAGTCAGGTAGACACTGGCAGTACAGTCAGGTAGACACTGCCTTGCAGTACAATCAGGTAGACATGACCTTGCCGTACAGTCAGATAGACACTGCCTTGCAGTACAATCAGGTAGACATGACCTTGCAGTACAGTCAGATAGACATGGCCTTTACAGTACAGTCAGGTAGACACGGCCTTTACAGTACAGTCAGGTAGACACGGCCTTTACAGTACAGTCGGTAGACATGGCCATTACAGTACAGTCAGGTAGACATGGCCTTTACAGTAATTCAGGTAGACACTGCCTGGCAGTCAGGTACAGACTGACCCACGGAGGAGACAGGTGCATTGCTGTCAGGGTCTGTCAGTACTGCAATTTGAGCATGCTGGCTTGCCTACAGTACATTAACCCTAAGATGTAAAGCCAAACATGATCCTATCATGGAGCAACGTAGATTTCCATTGATGCTATTGGAATCAAGTTCAAGTTCAATTTATTTCGGTAATAGGGGCCATAGACCCAGAATACAAACAATACATAACATTTTGTTTTGGTGGCTCTTACATAAGAGCATGAATGGCATAATTACACAAGCAGATACATTGTACAGTTGAACAATAATAATTATAGGTTGACAATATGATAATGCAAAAGTTGATAGAGTTAACTCCCTTGCAATTTGGTACAAAATTCTGAGAAAGAGCATATCAAGTCATAGCAAATTGTATATGTATATAGTGATGAATGAGCACAATAATTTGTAATGGTTACAAGTCTAACAATTAAACCATAGTTGTAGGTAGACAAGGTATTATGCGGAATATGATTGAGTTGTCTCGCTTGCATCAGGTATTGAGGAACTTCTGTCTCACAGCTGAGGCCTTGAATATGTATTCTGCTAATAGTGACTGATTCTCGCACTTCATGATGTGGATAAATTTCTTTTTGTTGGAGAGATAATGGGGAATATTGGAATCAGCTTTGCTGGATCTTACCAATGTGTTTGGAGTGCGTTCTCGCAAAAGGATAATGAAAGAAGGTGACAAGCATTGTGTCATTTTGACACAAGAATCTGTTCTTGTTTCTCTTAAAGAGACGTAAGTTTATATGTTGAAAATGTTGGGTACAAGCATCAAAGTCGGTGGGTCCTTGTATCAACATACCCCCTGTGTAAAATGGTTACAGATTTTAGGGAAACCTGGGTCTTAAGACTTTAAGATGGATGTTAAGAACCCCTATCAATTATACCTTGTTTTTTTACTACTCAGCATAAAGGATATTCATCTTAATTTCAAAATATATTGAAAAGAAGAAAACATTTCCATTAGTTGCCCTCCCCTGTCACAGTTCCACAAAGGGATGATGGCACTGTGAGTTTTAGGTGTATGTTAGTCTATGGAAGAAGCCCTGATATCCAGAGAACTGGTCAAGAATATTCTGTTGACTTGCTATATTCTGCAGGGGGTGAGCTTTCACGAAGCAACCTTAACTAAGGTTAACCTTAACTCTCATTCTTTAACATTGCACTAAGGTTACCTTAGTGACATACGATCACCTTAGTGCTTTGTAGAAGGAGGCCCAGCTAGGTGCTGTTGTACAAAACAATCTTAGCGCTAAGGCTACCTTAATTCTGTGTTAAGGTATGGGAGTTACGGTCACCTTAGCGCTAAGGTTACCTTAATTCTGTGTTAAGGTATGGGAGTTACGGTCACCTTAGAGCTAAGGCTACCTTAATTCTGTGTTAAGGTATGGGAGTTACGGTCACCTTAGCGCTAAGGTTACCTTAATTCTGTGTTAAGGTATGGGAGTTACGGTCACCTTAGCGCTAAGGTTACCTTAATTCTGTGTTAAGGTATGGGAGTTACGGTCACCTTAGCAATAAGGCTACCTTAATTCTGTGTTAAGGTATGGGAGTTACAGTCACCTTAGCGCTAAGGTTATCTCAATTCTGTGTTAAGGTATGGGAGTTACGGTCACCTTAGCACTAAGATCGCTTTGTACAACGGCACCCAGGTCAGTATCACTGACAGTGGGAAATTATATCATCATTTAAAGGATTTATAAGAAGTCAGTCAGAGGGAATATATTTATCATCTAAAAACCTGATCTCAGTTGGCTGCTTTTTCTGCAAACTGGTATTTGTATACAAATTACTGGTTAAGATGTTTTTCAATTTCCTTCTAAAGCAACAATAACAGCTTTAAATCATTGGAAATTGATCAGGGACAAAGCTGAATTCTTTGGATTCTACTGATCAACTTCTCCTTGATGGATTAGTTTGATGAGAAAAAGACCTGTGTTTCCCGAAAAAGGATTGTTGGGATGGATATTTCAAGAAGAGCTATTGAATGTCATGTTGCAAATCCTAATTTGATTTGCATTGACCCACTTCCTGAATGAAAAACATAAAAACCTACGCATTTTCTGAGTTCTATACGATTTTGTCTCCCTGAGCCTAAATTCTCTTTTTGAATGATCTGGAATAGACATTGGCATTGAACGCATTGGCTGTTTATTTGTTTATTTACTCTGGGATAATTTAACCATAGGACTATTTTTTCACTGGAGTGGATGCAATATCTCACATACATCAGTGTGTTCATGCACTATTCAGTGACACCTGTATGCTCATGCTGTTGATCACTGGATTGTCTGGTCCAGACTCAATTATTTACAGACCGCCGCCATATAGCTGGAATATTGCTGAGTGCGACATAAATCTAAACTCACTCACTCACTTCACTCACTCACTCACTCACTCACTCACTCACTCACTCACTCACTCACTCACTCACTCACTCACTCACTCACTCACTCACTCACTCACTCACTCACTCACTCACTCACTCACTCACTCACTCACTCACTCACTCACTCACTCACTCAATGACACCTGTTCAAATGAGTTGCACATTATGACCGCCTCTCTTCATTTGTTGCTCTTATGATATGCTATGGGTGCCAAGGCCTATTTTGATTTGTTTATAAGTAAATACACCTTGAGGGTTCTGGGTTAGCATAGGTCACTTGTGATTGTCGGAAGGGGAACTAAGTGGACTGAGTAGTCAGTGACTTTCTAATTATTTAGCTTGTCTTTGACAGTGTAGGTCAGACCTCATAATATCAATATCTGATCTGTGAGGTTGAGATTCACATCATGTACAGGATGTCATGATATAACTGGATTATGGCAGAGTGTGTTATGTCAGTGTAGGAAAGATAGCCCGTCCCAACGTCCGAGACGGATGAATTTTGTGGAGGACGGGTTAAAAAAATATCTAGTCCGTCCTCATGTCGGGTCAATTTTAGCAAACCAATGACATATATATAAAGATTATAACCTTTTTGAATATTTACTGCCGAAGGTGTTTTATTTATATTTGGAGGACAGGCTAGATTTTGGCAGGACTGGTAAAAAATTTGACCTGCCAGTCCTGTGGACAGGCTAGATTTTCTACATCTTTCCTACACTGGTTATGTATACACATACATATGTTTGGCACTTGGGAATCAGCAGTCAAATGCGCAACACACTGTGAAGAGTTATTTCCCTTTGACATACCATCTGTTTCCATTACCAGCACTTGTTAATGTAGTCTCAGGGAGATTTGTCTGTTTTGAAGAGAAATATACCCATGTTGATTTTTTTAGTTTTCACAATGTTAACAGTTTAATGAAGAACATTTTAATGACTTTTGCTTTCAAATTCAACAACAAAAGCTTGTGACTGGGGCAAAGTGTTGAGCATGTTATCCTGCAGTCAAGGATCATATGTCCTACATATCTGGTGATGCCATGGGTATCTGGTGTTTGTATCCAATATATTACAGGAGTTGGGTTTCAGCAGCTTAGTGTTTGTCACCTGATACATTGTTGCTAGGTTACGCAGTAATGTACGTCAGGACTGACGATATATATACCCACAAAGACATTTCTTTTCTCATCTTGGAAGAGATTGAAATGAATCAAATTCCATATGATGTGTCAAATTAGATCAATTTGTGTCCATACTTTATGTGATTTGTCCATAAGCAGGGAAAATGGATTTAGGTAGTACTGTTACTTATATCTACACAACCATTTTTGAGCATGACTGATGTATGGTCATCCCATTGATACATGTACTATTTACACACTTTTGCCATTAGGCTTCTTCTGCCTGTTCATTTGTTGTCTTATGCCGTGTTTTGACAAATTGACATCATCCTGTAAATATACTCATGGAAACAAATAAGGGAAACCATGAAAGTACAAGTATTCCTTTATTCATTTCCAGAATTTCACCCACAGTGCAATACATACTTAGTGAAGAAACCTGGAAAAGAATAAAGGAACACTTGTACTTGTATGTGTTCCCTTATTTGTTTCCATGAGTATATTTGAGTCCTGGACAAACAAATGATGGCATGGTTCTACCCGGTCCCATTTCGTGTACTTTTTATGTTACAAAGATTGCCTAGACCCACAGGGCAGCTGTTGTGCTTGTGTTTCAACATGACTGATATATGGTTTAGGTTATTTCAGACATACTTGGTGTAACAGCCCTGACTCAAGGCATTCTAACTACTGGCTTGAAGGGTAGCTTTTTCTCTTTTCCACTTTAAAACCAGCCTCCTTTTGTATTTTCCAGGTTTACAATATCTATATGGCCGGTCGCCACTTGTGCTCCCGGAGATACAGGGAATATGATGCCCTTCATCAGAACCTTAAGAGAGAATTTCCTGACTTCAACTTCCCCAAACTCCCTGGCAAGAAAATTTTCCATTTGTCAGAACAGCAGCTTGACCAAAGACGACGTGGACTTGAACAATACTTGGAGAAAGGTGTGTAGAATGTTTATGTACCTCCTCTCTTTGTGCAAGAAATACTGTACATGACTCTCAATACAGTTAATTATTAGTATAGTCTATAGACTATACATGTGGAACATTTTTATGATGTTGGTCTTTGGTGACTAAATGTTATTCGTACCAAAATGTGTAGGTTATTTGCATCTGTTCAGGTTTCTCCTTTGGTAATTTGATCCAGAAATCTGGTATATGACAATGTTCCCTTGATACATATTATTATTTTCAAACATAATGTTTCATGCTATAGTAACTGTCTTACTATGTATCAGCATTTAACTAAGAAATGTCGATTGTGGTACAGGCTCGGAACTTATTCAGTTATTTCACTAAGGACAGACCATGTATCCTTTATCCAGGTATTAAGTTATTCTCATGATGAGTTGAATGTGTTATGTGTTCTAGTGTGCGCAGTACGGGTGATCGGAGAGAGTGAGATTATGCAGGAGTTCCTGTCTGCCGATGGAGGGGAGTCGGTATGTATCAGCCAACTAAAGCTTGCAGTATTTTACAAACACCAATAACTGATGCTTGTCTGTTCTAGAGCCGTTCTAGAAGACTCTCCTGCAATCAGGACGTGATTTCTCGAAACAAACTTAAGTCTGAGTTTTGTCTTAAGTTAGAGTTTTTACTAAAATTTGAGAAAACGCAGGAAAATGCATTTCCCAGAATGAACTGAAATCAATATATAACTCAAACATAGTAGACAATTTGAGTTTGGTGGATAGATTACTTAGTTGTTTGGGCTTTTTATTAAAAAAATATAGTTGAGTTAAAAAATCAGCTGTTTCAAATTGTCAAACTCAGTTTGAAATTTGAGCAAAAACTTTTTTTCGAGAAATCGGGGCCAGTTCTCTGCCAAAGTATCATGGGGCTTTGTCCGTAATTTGTCTCATCAATAACGGCATGGCTGCTGTTGCCTGCTATAGCATGATCATATAACAGTAGTTTGGTCATTGGTGTCTTGGTTTTTTAAGAGTTAATTTTGTATTCTGTGTTGGCTAGTATACATAACAAGTAATGCCCAAGTTGGTCACTTATGAGAACATTGCAAGCAATAGGCAGGCGGTTTAAGAAAATGCCCCCTTTTCCTTCTTGATGGATCATTCAGTTATTCTGGGTTGGACTCACAGACAAGCTTGAAAAGACTACATGTATTTAGTTTGCTGGCACCAAGTACATCATTAAGAGAAAAAGTACTGCATCATTTCAGTGTTGCCTCCCACACAAATGAGATTACTGAAATACTGTTTTAATTATTCTTTATTCAGGACAACTGCTAGCAGTATGTAAAATGTGATTGGCATGACCAAATGTATGCAAAGTCTGTCCATCAGAAGAATATCTCCACAATGTTTAAGCATTGAATGGTAGCATTGCACAGTACTGCAGTTTGTGATTTTAGCCTCTTGTCTGTTGCCCCAGGCAAGTAATACATTTAGTCTTGTAACTATGGCTTGTGAAAATCCAGACATTGACATTAAGATCTACTGAAAATGACATTGAGTTACAGGATCAAGCTTGTAGCAGTCTTCAACTTCTGCCACTAGTACGAGTCTAGTAAAATTCTGTTTGGACTAGTAAAACCTCAGTTGTTAATAATAATGCTGATAGCTTTAAAATTTCTTAAAAGTGATGTTCAGAGGTATGTTTGGGCAAGTAGGCACAGGCTATACTCAGTCGTGCTGTACCCAGTCTACACAGTGATTTTTGCTCAGACTTGTACTGTACCCAATCTATGTGTCCAGGCTGTAGTTGACACAGTGGTTTTTGCTCAGACTCGTACTGTACCCAATCTGTGTGTCCAGGCTGTAGTTGACACAGTGGTTTTTGCTCAGACTCGTACTGTACCCAATCTGTGTGTCCAGGCTGTAGTTGACACAGTGGTTTTTGCTCAGACTCGTACTGTACCCAATCTATGTGTCCAGGCTGTAGAGGGAGGACACAGTGGTTTTTGCTCAGACTCGTACTGTACCCAATCTATGTGTCCAGGCTGTAGAGGACACAGTGATTTTTGCTCAGACTTGTACTGTACCCAATCTATGTGTCCAGGCTGTAGAGGACACAGTGATTTTTGCTCAGACTTGTACTGTACCCAATCTATGTGTCCAGGCTGTAGAGGACACAGTGATTTTTGCTCAGACTTGTACTGTACCCAATCTATGTGTCCAGGCTGTAGAGGACACAGTGGTTTTTGCTCAGACTGTACCCAATCTGTGTCCAGGCTGTAGTGGAGACAGTGGTTTATGCTCAGACTCCAGACTGTACCCAATCTATGTGTCTAGGCTGTAGAGGACACAGTGATTTTTGCTCAGACTTGTATTGTACCCAATCTATGTGTCCAGGCTGTAGTGGAGACAGTGATTTTTGCTCAGACTTGTACTGTACCCAATCTATGTGTCCAGGCTGTAGAGGACACAATGGTTTTTGCTCAGACTCGTACTGTACCCAATCTATGTGTCCAGGCTGTAGAGGACACAGTGATTTTTGCTCAGACTTGTATTGTACCCAATCTATGTGTCCAGGCTGTAGTTAGGACACAGTGATTTTTGCTCAGACTCTCATTACTGTACCCAATCTATGTGTCCAGGCTGTAGAGGACACAGTGGTTTTGCTCAGACTTCGTGCTGTACCCAATCTATGTGTCCAGGCTGTAGAGGACACAGTGCTTGTATTGTACCCAATCTATGTGTCCAGGCTGTAGTGGGAGACAGTGATTTTTGCTCAGACTTGTACTGTACTCCAATCTATGTGTCCAGGCTGTAGAGGACACAATGGTTTTTGCTCAGACTCACAGTACTGTACCCAATCTATGTGTCCCAGGCTGTAGAGGACACAATGGTTTTTGCTCAGACTCGTACTGTACCCAATCTATGTGTCCAGGCTGTAGAGGACACAGTGTTTTTTGCTCAGACTTGTATTGTACCCAATCTATGTGTCCAGGCTGTAGTGGAGACAGTGGTTTTTGCTCAGACTTGTACTGTACCCAATCTATGTGTCCAGGCTGTAGAGGACACAGTGGTTTTTGCTCAGACTCGTACTGTACCCAATCTATGTGTCCAGGCTGTAGAGGACACAGTGATTTTTGCTCAGACTTGTACTGTACCCAATCTATGTGTCCAGGCTGTAGAGGACACAGTGATTTTGCTCAGACTCGTACTGTACCCAATCTATGTGTCCAGGCTGTAGAGGACACAGTGGTTTTTGCTCAGACTTGTACTGTACCCAATCTATGTGTCCAGGCTGTAGAGGACACAGTGGTTTTTGCTCAGACTTCGGTACTGTACCCAATCTATGTGTCCAGGCTGTAGTGGACACAGTGATTTTTGCTCAGACTCGTACTGTACCCAATCTATGTGTCCAGGATGATGCTAACAGTGAAGTGGAACTGAAGGTGCTGCTCCCTGATCGCAGTCTGTGTGTTGTCACTGTACATCGGTCCGACAACGCTGATGATGTGTACCAGGTAACTGCAACATTTATATCAGTCTGGAGACCAATTGCCAATTATTTGAAGTCATGATTAGTTACACAATTCTGTATCAGCATTGGCCTTTAATCCCTTGGTAACCAATGGGAGCAGACCTGCATTGTTGTTAAATTAAAGTATTGACAGCTATTATGACTAATTGGTTGATAGACGTTTCTTTGAATTTGAACATAGCACAGACAAGCATATCTTAGGTGAATAACTAGCAGTAAGAACAAGTGATAAACTTCAGTTGATCTTAATCCTTCACCTACCATACATAATCCTGTATCATGTTCGTTTTTCTGTCTTGTTTGGAAGTGGTATGAGGATCTGTGTTGATCTTACAAATAGTTAAGAAATTGTTTTCCATAAATTTTATGTCTTTTTGAATTAATGGCAAGCCTCGTTACCACTGTGTATGTTGTGTAAGGGACAAAATGGTGATGTGAATTGTAAGGGAGATAACTTTGCTGTGTTTTTTTGTAAAGGAGATAACTATGGGTATGTTTGGTGTGTGTAAAGGAGAATATGTCTATGTGTGTAGGGAAAATAAGTTGAATCTTATGAGGTAAATAAATGTGGTACATATAGTGTATGGGAGATAACTTTGTTGTGTATATTGTAAGGGAGATAACTGTGTAATGTGTTGCAGGCGGTAGTGGACAAGTTGCAGCTGGAAGAGAATGTAGCAGCCTGCTTCTACCTTTTTGAAACCGTTGAATACAACTTTGGTGAGTGTGGATTATTTGCACACATAGATCCCAAGCTTGAAAAGCTAAAATATTAAAATGTGTTGACTGATACATTTCATGGTCATTCAAGAATTTTATCTTCAACTTTGATAGTTGCAATTTCATTTTCCTTTAATGCTGTATGGTATAAAATCTTACATTATGCTTCGTTCATGCAAGTTAAAATAGCCTGTATCAGTTTTAAGTCTACAACATAAAATGTGGTGAATTTGAGCAACAGTTACCTTGCTAAATTAGCTACAGCGTATAGACTGTCAGTTTAGTAATTATCTATTAGCACTTGGCACTTTCACAATATGGAAAAATGATGTACATTCTCCTACAAATGAGGAAGAAACTTACTTTTCAGTCATATAGTATAAACTAGGTCTGATCTCCACAGTCATCACAGAGTTATTTCCCTTTGTGACAGTCTCAAAACTGTGGCACACCAAAGATTCTCCTAATTAAATGTGTCATTTACATATACAAGACCCTCTCTCTGCATTACAGAGAGGAAACTGCAACCGCATGAACTGCCACACAACATCTACATCCAGAACTACAGCACCGCAACAGCCACATGTATTGTCCTCAAGAAGTGGGTGTTCACGCTGTCCAAGGAGATGATGCAGAACGCATGTGAGAAGGCAGTTAGCTTTCTCTACTGGCAGGTAGGTGACTCTGGCACATTGCTTCTATTCCCGGCTTAGAATTAGGTGGAGCAATATTGTACCCCAATGACTGGAATCACTTCTCAAATATCAGTCACTGGATTGTTTGATTATTTACAGGACACCGTCATGAAGCCAACATAAACACACATGAAATAGGTTGTCAGTAAATCACTTATGGAATGGAGAAATAAACTGCATATTCTTTGGTAGACATGTACATTTTATGAAAGTTTATCTCTTTGTCTTTTTATATCTATTAAATCATCTATATCTTTTCTCAGTATCATATCACTGCAACTAGAACTCTCTGTATGCGCTATGAGCATGCTCCCGGCGTGGAATTTTGGCGCTTTAGAAATATACTTATTATTATTATTATTATTATTTCCATTCAATCCTGCTCCTATCGTTCATGTACAAAGTAGAAACTGCAGGAGCTGTATGATGCCCTGCATCAACATGTAAGATGTACCTAAGGTCACAAAATGTGAACCCCAACCAACTAAATAGGTGTCAAGGGGTTACAATATGTTACAATATATAATGATATAATCATTGCTTCGATCATGGGTACCATGCCCATTTACACGTGATCCAGATCCTAGACTTACATTTTGTGAAATCCGACGTTGTACAGTGGGTTAGATGGCTGACTTTGTGTGCTGGCAATAATGTGCCTGACTGTGAATCTTGTCACTCACTGTTATTATTCTGCCCGTCGTCGTCCGATCCGTCTGCCCGTCCGTCCGTCCGTCCGTCCGTAATCATTTTGTTTTCGGACCATAACTCAAAGACCGTTTGATATTTTTTAACCAAAATTGGTAGATATGTCAAACATAACCTAAGGTGGTGCCTTTTGCTATTTACAGATAATTGTCATTTTTATTTTTCTCGGTTTCCATGGAAGCGTTTTGGACTTAGTCTTAAAGAAGGGTGGAAAGCCGTTTCGGAGCATAACTCAAGAACCATTCAATATTTTTCAACAAAACTTGGTAGATATATCAAACAGATCCTAAAGTGGTGCCTTTTGCTATTTACAGATTTTTGGCATTTTATTTTCCCGGTTTCCATGGAAACAATTGGGACTTAGTCCCAAAGTGAGGGGTGGGCCCGTTTCGGAGCATAACTCAAGAACCGTTCAATATTTTTCAACAAAACTTGGTGGATATATCAAACAGATCCTAAAGTTGTGCCTTTTGCTATTTGCAGATTTTGGCATTTTTATTTTTCCGGTTTCCATGGAAACGATTCAGACTTAGTCCCAAAAGTGGCGGTGGGCTTCGTTTCGAGCACAACTTCGAAAACTTCTCAATGTCTTTCAGCAAAACTTGGCAGATATGTGAGGCAGATCCCAAAGTGGTGCCTTTGCTATTTACAGATTTTAGCATTTTACTTTTCCGGTTTCCATGGAAAAGATTGGGACTTAGTTGCAAAAGTGAGGGGTGGGCTTGTTTCGAGCATAACTCAAGAACCGTTTAATATTTTTCAACAAAACTTGGTAGATGTATGAAACAGATCCTTAAGTGGTGCCTTTTGCTATTTGCAGATTTTGTCATTTTATTTTTCCGGTATCCATGGAAACATTTTGGACTTAGTCTCTAAAGTAAGGATTGCTTTCGTTTCAGAGCACAACTCAAAAAACCGTAAAATATTTTTCAACAAAACTTGGTAGATATATCAAACACATCCTAAAGTTGTGCCTTTTGCTATTTGCAGATTTTTGGCAGTTTTATTTTCCTGGTTTCCTTGGAAACAATTGAGGACTTAGTCCCAAAAGTGAGGGGTGGGCTTAGTTTCCGAGCATAACTCAAGAACCGTTCAATATTTTTCAACAAAACTTGGTGGATATATCAAACAGATCCTAAAGTTGTGCCTTTTGCTATTTGCAGATTTTTGGCAGTTTTATTTTTCCCGGTTTCCATGGAAACGATTCAGACTTAGTCCCAAAAGTGAAGCGGTGGGAAGCCGTTTCCGAACACAACTTCGAAAACTTCTCAATGTCTTTCAGCAAAACTTGGCAGATATGTGAGGCAGATCCCAAAGTGGTGCCTTTTGCTATTTGCAGATTTTAAGCGTTTTACTTTTCCCCGGTTTCCATGGAAAAGATTCCGGACTTAGTTGCAAAAGTGAGGGTGGGCTTAGTTTCGGAGCATAACTCAAGAACCGTTCAATATTTTTCAACAAAACTTGGTAGATGTATGAAACAGATCCATGAGAGGAAGCTTTTTATCCCACCGGCATATAATCGCGGTGGGATATAGTCGTCGTCCTCCGTCTGTCCGTCAAATCCGTCCGTCCGATCAGAATCATTTTGTTTCCGGACCATAACTCAAAGACCGTTCGATATTTTTAACCAAAATTGGTAGATATGTCAAACATAACCTAAGGTGGTGCCTTTTGCTATTTACAGATAATTGTCATTTTTATTTTTCTCGGTTTCCATGGAAACGTTTTTTGGACTTAGTCTTAAAGAAGGGTGGGCTTCAAGTTTCCGAGCATAACTCAAGAACCATTCAATATTTTTCAACAAAACTTGGTAGATATATCAAACAGATCCTAAAGTTGTGCCTTTTGCTATTTACAGATTTTGGCATTTTTATTTTCCGGTTTCCATGGAAACAATTAGGACTTAGTCCCAAAAGTGAGGGGTGGGCTTCGCTTTCCAGAGCATAACTCAAGAACCGTTCAATATTTTTCAACAAAAGTTGGTAGATATATCAAACAGAACCTTAAGTGGTGCCTTTTGCTATTTTAGATTTTTGGCATTTTTATTTTCGGTTTCCATAGAAACATTTTGGAACCATGAGGGTGCTTTTGGTATTTGCAGATTTTGTCATTTTATATTTTCCGGTTTCCATGGAAACATTTTGGACTTAGTCTCAAAAAAGTAAGGATTGCTTTCGTTTCGAGCATAACTCAAGAACCGTTCAATATTTTTCAACAAAACTTGGTAGATATATCAAACAGATCCTAAAGTTGTGCCTTTTGCTATTTGCAGATTTTTGGTATTTTTTTTTCCCGGTTTCCATGGAAACGTTGGTCGGACTTAATCTCAAAAGTAACCCAAAGTGGGTGCCTTTTGCTATTTGCAGATTTTTGGTATTTTTATTTTTCCGGTTTCCATGGAAATGATTCGACTTAATCCCCAAAAGTGAGAGGAGGGTGGGCTTCGCTTCCGGAGCATAACTCAAGAACCGCTTCAATATTTTCAACAAGACTTGGTAGATATATCAAACAGAACCTTAAAGTGGTGCCTTTTTGCTATTTGCAGATTTTTGGTATTTTTATTTTTCCCGGGTTTCCATGGAAACGATTCGGACTTAATCCCAAAAGTGAGGGGTGGGCTTCGTTTCCGAGCATAACTCAAGAACCGCTTCAATATTTTTCAACAAAACTTGGTAGATGTATGAAACAGAACCTAAAGTTGTGCCTTTTGCTTTATTTGCAGATTTTGGCATTTTTATTTTTCTTGGTTTCCATGGAAACATTTTGGACTTAGTCTCAAAAGTAAGGATTGCTTTTCGTTTTCGAGGAGCACAACTCAAAAACGTATAATATTTTTCAACAAAACTTGTTGTGATATATCAAACAGATCCTAAAGTTGTGCCTTTTGCTATTTACAGATTTTAGCATTTTATTTTTCCGGTTTCCATGGAAATGATTCCATCTCAATCCCAAAAGTGAGGGTGGGCTTCGCTTCCGATATTATCCTCAAGAACCGCTCGTAATATTTTTCAACAAGACTTGGTAGATATATCAAACAGAACCTTAAGTGGTGCCTTTGCTATTTGCAGATTTTGGTATTTTTTATTTTTCCCGGTTTCCATGCGAAAACTGATTTGGACTCTACATCACCAGAAAGTGAGGGTGGGCTTCGTTTCGAGCATAACTCAAGAAACCGTTCAATATTTTTCAACAAAACTTGGTAGATGTATGAAACAGAACCTAAAGTTGTGCCTTTTGCTATTTGCAGATTTTGGCATTTTATTTTTCTTGGTTTCCATGGAAACATTTTGGACTTAGTCTCAAAAGTAAGGATTGCTTTCGCTTCCGGAGCATAACTCAAAACCGAATAATATTTTTCAACAAAACTTGGTAGATATATCAAACAGATCCTAAAGTTGTGCCTTTTGCTATTTACAGATTTTTGGCATTTTTATTTTTCCCGGTTTCCATGGAAATGATTCGGACTTAATCCCAAAAGTGAGGGGTGGGCTTCGTTTCCGGAGCATAACTCAAGAACCGTTCAATATTTTCAACAAGACTTGGTAGATATATCAAACAGAACCTTAAGTGGTGCCTTTTGCTATTTGCAGATTTTTGGTATTTTTATTTTTCCCGGTTTCCATGGAAACGATTCGACTTAATCCCAAAAGTGAGGGGTGGGCTTGCTTTCCGGAGCATAACTCAAGAACCGCTCAATATTTTCAACAAAACTTGGTAGATGTATGAAACAGAACCTTAAGTGGTGCCTTTTGCTATTTGCAGATTTTTGGCATTTTATTTTTCTTGGTTTCCATGGAAACATTTTGGACTTAGTCTCAAAAAGTAAGGATTGCTTTGCTTTCGGAGCACAACTCAAAACCGTGATAATATTTTTCAACAAAACTTGGTAGATATATCAAACAGATCCTAAAGTTGTGCCCTTTGCTATTTGCAGATTTTTGGCATTTTTATTTTCCCGGTTTCCATGGAAACGATTCGACTTAATCCCAAAAGTGAGGGGTGGGCTTGTTTCGAGCACAACTCAAAACCTCTATATCTTTCAGCAAAACTTGGCAGATATGTCAGGCAGATCTTGAAGTGGTGCCTTTGCCTATTTGCAGATATTTGTGATTTATTATTTTCTCGGTTTCCATGGAAATGATTCGGACTTAGTCTCAAAAGGAAGGGATGGGTTTCGTTTCGAACACAACTGGAAAACTTCTTAATATCTTTCAGCAAAACTTGGCAGATATGTCAGGCAGATGCCAAAGTGGTGCCTTTTGCTATTTGCAGATATTTGTGATTTATTATTTTCTCAGTTTCCATGAAAACAATTTGGACTTAGTCTCAAAAGGGAGGGGTAGGTTTTGTTTCCGGAGCACAACGCGAAAACTTCTTAATATCTTTCAGCAAAACTTGGCAGATATGTGAGGCAGATCCCAAAGTGGTGCCTTTTGCTATTTGCAGATTTTTGTCATTTATTTTTTTCATGATTTCCATGGAAACGATTTGCACTTAGTCTAAAATCAAGCTGGACTTTAAGTAACTGTCAGATGATTTGTTCTTTCAAAGATATGGGGGCCGGGGGGATATGTCATCTTCTGATGACTCTTGTTTATGCTGTTCTCAGGCGGTGGATGAAGTGAACCGAGGCCAGATAAAGACTGGGGACAAGTTATATGAGTTGAAAGCATTACGAGAGGCAGCAAAAGCTCACGAGGTAAGAAATATTTTTCTAACTCTTATAAAAGTGATAGCAATATTGAGTCTGTTGATCAGAGGACATTTTGACATTATTTAGTCTGTGTCTCAAATTTTAGTTCCTTTTGTGTTAATCAGTGTTTCAAGGGAAATATGGACCCAAGGTCCAGTTTATAAAACTATTATCTTTTGTACTGAAATACAGCATTGATTTGACAATATCTGACATTTCTTGTTCCTATTACCTGACATATTGTTCCTGTTACTGTCCCTGACATATTTTGTTCCTGTTACCCTGACATATCTTGTTCCTGTTAACCTGACTGTTGACATATTGTGTCCCTGACATATCTTGTTCCTGTTACTGTTCCTGACATATCTTGTTACTGTTCCTGACATATCCTGTTACTGTTCCTGACATATCTTGTTCCTGTTACTGTCCCTGCCATGTCTTGTTCCTGTTACTGTTCCTGACATATCCTGTTACTGTTCCTGACATATCTTGTTCCTGTTACTGTTCCTGACATATCTTGTTCCTGTTACCTGACATATCTTGTTCCTGTTACCTGACATATCTTGTTCCTGTTACCTGACATATCTTGTTCCTGTTACTGTTCCTGACATATCTTGTTCCTGTTACCTGACATATCTTGTTCCTGTTACTGTTCCTGACATATCTTGTTCCTGTTACTGTTCCTGACATATCTTGTTCCTGTTACGTGACATACTGTTACCTGACCATGCTTGTTCCTGTTACCTGACATATCTTGTTCCTGTTACCTGACATATCTTGTTCCTGTTACTGTTCCTGACATATCTTGTTCCTGTTACCTGACATATCTTGTTCCTGTTACCTGACATATCTTGTTCCTGTTACCTGACATATCTTGTTCCTGTTACCTGACATATCTTGTTCCTGTTACCTGTATCTTGTTCCTGTTACCTGACATATCTTGTTCCTGTTACCTGACATGACATATCTTGTTCATGTTACCTGTTCCTGTTACCTGACATATCTTGTTCCTGTTACCTGACATATCTTGTTCCTGTTACCTATCTTGTTCCTGTTACATGACATATCTTGTCCTGACTGTTGCAGTATCTTGTTGACTGTTCTGAAAGGTTGTACCGGCCACCTGGATGGATATGGGAGGTTGTGTTTCCCCACTGTGCCTGTGACTCCCGCCGAGATGGTCATGTAATTGCTATCATTGGTCTAGAAAGCTTCAAGTTACAGGCATGTAAAGATGACGGGCAGCCAGAGGTGAGTGAGTGGAAGCCACAGGGAACTGCTGTGTCAGGTGTTAGAGAGACCAAATGTTTGGCTAGAGCAGAATTTACAACCACTGCTTTGGTCAGTTGTTATAACCACTCTGATGGGCAGATTTTATAACTACTTTGATTGTGGCAGATGTTATAACTACTATGATTGGGGCAGATTTTATAACTACTCTGATTGGGGCAGATGTTATAACCACTTTGATTGGCAGATGTTATATTGGGGCATATGTTATAACCACTCTGATTGGGGTGGATGTTATTACTTGGGGACAGATGTTATAACTACTCTGATTGGGACAGATGTTATAACCACTCTGATTGGGTGGATGTTATAACTACTCTGATTGGGACAGATGTTATAACCACTCTGATTGGGTGGATGTTATAACTACTCTGATTGGGGCAGATGTTATAACCACTCTGATTGGGGCGGATGTTATAACCACTCTGATTGGGTGGATGTTATAACCACTCTGATTGGGGCAGATGTTATAACCACTCTGACTGGGGCAGATGTTATAACCACTCTGATTGGGGCGGATGTTATAACCACTCTGATTGGGTGGATGTTATAACCACTCTGATTGGGTAGATGTTATTACTACTCTGATTGGAGCAGATGTTATAACCACTCTGACTTTGGATTGTATATTGTTTGTGCAGATATATACAAACAAATGAATTGGTAAAAAATATCTGCAATGTAATGTTTTTGGTAAAATCTCAATAGATGTGGTAATTCTTATTGGAGCGGTTATACATACTCAGAGCTGCTTGGTAGAGTGTAACAGTTACTTTGATGTGATATGATGGGGTGGTGGGGTAGCCTAGTGGTTAAAATTCAAAATCATCGAAGACCTGGGTTCGATTCTACGCATGGGTACAATGTGTGCAGCCCATTTCTGGTGTCCCCTTCGTGATATTGCTGGAATATTGCTAAAAGCGGCATAAAATCATACTCACTCACATAAGGATATGGCATACTTCACATAAGGATATGGCATACTTCACATGTATAATTCACATGCATCTCCTAATTGCAAATGTCTTTGTTTACAGTCACAAGTGATTGAATTCTCCTGGAAAGATGTCCGATCATATGAGGTAGATGAGGAAGGAATGTCCTTTAACTTCGAGTACGACAGACCTGGGAAGAAACCGAGGATAGTCAAAATATTTACACAATATGTGAGTAGCAGTTCATGTATAATTTATAGTGCCACAGAAAAGCAAAAACACAATCACTATATGGATATCTGCAAGTAAAAACAACTCATGGCAAAGTATTGTATATTGTGGGACATCTTTGTTTGCAAGAAGTGAAGTATTACTCTTTCCAAATCAGAATCTTTGCTGACTGAATATAATTTTTATCACTGCAGTGATTAAGGCATTATCAAAGTAATCCTTTAACTTAAGCCATTTCTTGAATTTGTTTCAGAGCTATTTTATGAGTGATTGTTTTGATCGAATATATGAAGAATTGGATTGGGAGAAATAAGTTGTGAGTATTTGTCTTTTCATTACATGTTAGTGTAATTGCAAATAACTGAAATGCAATGACTTCATGTTTGATTTAATGTTCCCTGACATGACAAACTGGTCATTATTGACATCCGGAGAAAAGTATGTGTCAGTAATGCTATCATTGCTGAGATGCCAACTATCTAACTCTTCAATGGCACCACGTAGTTTTGCACAGACTCCATGTTTTTAACTTTGAACTTTGATCTCTGCCAGTGAGTGGGCATATGTGGACCAGAATGAGAGGGCGTGTAGAGTTGCCTCCCTTAGCCCTACCAGGATCTGCAGGATGTGGGTTTGAATTCCTGATTAGCCTTGACTATGATTCTTGATGTGTGTCAGCTCAATCTGTACCTGGTAGTGTGTAGTCAGGAAGGTGAAGAATACCCAACATCACAGGCATTTCCTCATCTGTTTGTAAGGAAGGATCATGTTCCTAAACTAATTGTTGTATTTCTTTGTTTTCAGAAGCTGGTAATGCTAGGCTGTGCCAACTGATGAGTGAGTTTATATTTTTATGTTCAAATATTCATCCATTTTTCATATCAAAGGTTCTGTGTTTTTCTGTACTCCTTATTTGCCAGGCAACTTAACTCAGGTGACCAAAAGAGTTAACTCCCTTCATTAACCTTCTGTGGTTCTTTTCCTGTGACTTCAAGAACTTTCCATACTGTATAGAGCATAATGTGATAATGTATTTAAAAGATCTTATTTTTGAAAAAGATGTCAAGTAGATTATGTTATGTTATGTAGAGTATGTTCAGTAACAAATTGAGGAAGTTATGACACATCCAAATCTCTTGTTGTAGGTGTGAATCAAAACAGAACGTGATATGAGTGTCTGATGGTGATTCAGAAGTGTTCTGTAAACCTCAACATGTGATACCTTCGACCTACATGTGATGCTTACGGGACAAGGCAGATCGGACATGCATGCCAACATCCAGCGTTTCTCTGTCTCTTTCCTTCATCTCAAGTGGATCATTTGACTCAGCCTCTCCTTCAGAACTGGGATGGCATGGATTGGGAGAGTGTCTTCAAAACCAAATTATTCTGTGACACAAGCCATGTTTAACAAATCAGGAGATAAACCCCAGCAATGAGTTCATTTTGGAACTGTTTGAAGAAGAGGTTGGCTGAAGTTTTTGTATACTTCTCATTAAAGTTAAGGACCAGTTGATTCTTCAATATCTCAATAGTTTGTCTCATGCTAAGAGAGATATGCAGGTATCTAAAGAATCCGGTCCCTTAACTATTTTTAGTAGTATATTTTGAGTTTTTTCACCATTGGGTCTGAGCTGAAATTGTTTTGTGAAGCTGATGGTGCATTGCATGCAGGGTTTGCAGTGCCTATAACAATGTGTCACTGTGCACACATGCACCTGTTGTGTGTGGTTAGTGTATGCTCTTCTTTGTTCTTTGATATGATCTCTTATTCTGCTTGCTTCGACAGTCCAAAGGATTTTGTGCTGCAGATATTAAGTTACTTGTGTTTGCTTCTGGGCAAGGGACTGGATATGGTAAGGTGGTTGTGGTATCAAGAGTGTTACACTTCTGTTGTGTTACATCTATGCACATAGCTGTCATGGCACCATCATGTATCAACCTCTCCCAAACAGGAGGGAATTATTGCTGTTGACTATCTCTTGCTAAAGTTAGCTGTCACTTGACTCTCTGTACAGAAATATTTTCACATAAAAACCTTCCCTACATTTCATTCTCAAACCATGTATAACAGTAATTGGTTTTTTTTACATTGTGGCCAACTACTTTTTGAGGAGGATGTGAAATACAATGCTGCAAGAATGCCCATCTTATGCCTTAGAGCCCTAGGTGGTACAGTGGAACCTTTCTGAACCAGACTTCAGGGGGTCTTGAAGTTGAGTCCAGTTTAAAAAAGGTCTGCTTTGCAGGAGAGAAAAGAAAAGAAAGGAAATTTTTATGAAAATATTGCACATGATAGTAAATGTGGGCCAGCGTTGACAGAAATCTGGATTAGTTACGGACTGGCTTTGATATATTCCACTGAACAGTGTACCTCTGTGGCTCCGATCCCAGGTGCAGTACTATCAGTGCAGCTGTAGGAGCACTTAATCAACATCATGTAGTGTTTATCATAACTTGATGGTATTTTTTTTTTTACGTTTACCATCAGCATTTTTCAATGTAGTTTACTGTCTCATTATTACTAATCTGTTACTGTGAGTTTTGCTGAAACATATAACATCCTTATATATTATAGAGCCTTATGTTAAAAAGACACTGCTGAACGAGGGCATATTCATATGGGTAAACAACTTCTGTATTACAAACAGGCAATGTTTTCATACAGATAAACAGTTGTTGATAAACGTGTGAGTCTACATGGAAACATTGCCTCATGTGTTGTAAAGACATTAGTATCCATTGCAACCTTGACCTTGTTCATCGCACTAACCTCTAAGTGACAATCAGAGCCGTTAAGATGTTGTTGACACTGTGTGTGGCAGTCATGCTAACAACAAGCTTTTGATTCTCTTTTTGATTTGCACATAAAATTTATGAATTGCTTTTGTAAAGTGAATATATTTATTGTTACATAATGAAAGGATGGAGACATAGAAGACCGGTTGAGATGTTGCTGTGATAAGGTGATGAGATAGCAACATTTACCTGGACATAATGTGATCACATGAGGTCACCTGTTTGTTCTGACTTACCTGGGAAGTGACGAAAGTCACCTTCTGCTCATTTTCTAGATGTGACGGTCTTGTTTAATCCGACCTAGCTTAACACTACAGAATGGTTGTAAATAATTACTAAGTTTTAGGAGTTAGATATTATTTAGTTTCCTTTTTAATGACACTAAATTTGATTTTTGTAGCATTTGGAGTTACTGTAGAGGTGAAATATTGGTGTAGTTGAAGTTCCATTGTCAGTATTTGCTGGCTTGCCTGAGACCATAATGCTCGTAGTTGTTAATTCTAGTCTGTCATGTTGAAGCGAACATCCTCAAAGTTCATACACAAACACACAGCACAGCAGCATGTGCTGGTTCCTTGTGCTGCCAACCCTGGCTATATCAAGATGGTGCCAGGCTTGATGGTAGCTGATGATCCCAACGAAATCTTTCATGCTGTATTTTCTTCTTCAGATACTTGTCTCTTATTCTGTCTGAAAACTTAACCTGTCCTTCTGTTTGTATTGTCCCATTGTCAGCACTCCACGGGGTTGCGATACTTCACTCCTCCATCACATGCCAATACTTGTATCAATCAATCTTTATTCAGAACTGAAGGCCACAGGCCCATAGTACAAGTATATACAATGTTCAAAAGCAGAGTGGATTTCCCTTCAAAATAGCATGATAGATAAACAAAGCAATATTTTCAATAAATATACTGTTAGAATTTGACAATAGTTGGATAAATTTATAATTTGACGGTTGTTTCGTATAATAATTGGGTATATATTTGCTTCTAATGTTTCTATAATAATCACAAATTAGCAGAACATGGTATTCAACTTCCAGGACGTTTAATTTACAGTATCTGCACTCAGTAGATTTCTTATGAAATTTTCCCTTATAACAACTTAAATCATAATGTACGGAATGAAACTGTGATAAGGCTATTCTTACTTTACTTACATGCCAATACAAACAGCAGATACAGGCTACAATAGTCATACATGTCTATTTATAGTCACATAATGTACTGAGGCCAACAAACCTCAAATGTGCCCACTCCTTGCATTAACGTTTTGAGAGGCCCACCTCCACCCGACACTGAAGCGATGTGTGGAGCACAGCCTGTAAGTCTGGGTCACGTGTTGCACAGTAAATATTGTCTATGTTATGCCACTTCATTCATTCCCTCTCATTGGAACCAGGCCATCATTTGATTCAATAGTTCGAAATACAAATATTCGGCAGTATGTTTTCACATTTGATGAAGGAATGTAGTATAAAGAAACCTGTGAAGTTCTGATAATTATCTTGTCCTTGAGGTGATATACCGGTATATCTGCTGTACTTAATGAACATCAGGAACGTTAACAGTATATCGACGGATTAAACAAATTTATTGGTAGCAAGGATCAGAGCAGTTTGTGAAAGTAATACCTTTACACCTTTATATGTTAGATAAGCAGGAAATAGAGAATTAAATGAAAATCTATATTTTTGTTTGTCAGTTGAACAGGGTCATTGAGATGCATGTCGTGTCTGATAATCATGAAACCATGCATTACTGTATCAGTACCAGGAAGTGGGTAGGAAGTGTGCATCCTTGGTGTTGTCAAGTGCTGTAATACACAGAAATAATGAAAACTTTCTATGTGTAGAAAGATTCAGGCAGTTGCACCATGAGTAATGTTTCAAACTGTTGCAGTGACCTTAAAAAACAGATAACAAGTTAAATACTTAAGAAATGGCATGTTTAATAAGTCGCATTGGAAGATATTTTCTTTTGTTTTTTTAAAAGTCTGCTCAAAGAGAAATTGACAATAGTGAACGAGAAATAATGTATGTGTTACGAAAGTGCAATCATGTGTTCAGCGTTGCATGGTATTACTTCCAGATGATACTAGGCAAACTGAAAAATAAAGTAAATACTGCCTTATGCTGGCAGTGGACTTTCAGCCATGTCCAGGGGTAGGCAGAATTGGTAATATTGGACCACAAATCATATGTTGGTTTTCACTAGTCTTGGACTAGTAGTGTCCATTTCTATCCTTGTTAATGAACCCTGTATATATCAGAAAGGGATTAACTTTCTCATAGTCTTTTAGCACTTTAGGTATGTATTGTTTTGATATCTATATACTCAAACCATTGTGTTTCAGTGATTTGAATGTAAGTTCATATCAAAAACTTTTGGTATGTGACCACCATTATTTGTAGGCTTGTACAGAAGGGAAGTCACTGAACTTGTTCTTTATAGTGGGATTGTGGGTACAATTTGACCTTCTTGTGGTCAGGGTGTGATGCATATTTTGATAATTCAGTGAAATATTGTATTTTTAAAGATGACATTATCTCTGCAAGGAAAAAAATCTTGTAACTGAGAATAAATTGGACAGCATATATACAATATGGAATGTGAACAGGGTGGAGAATCGACTGCAGATCCTAGAGCTCCTGCGTGTGAGTTACAAAGCGGGAATACAATAAGCCTGTGTGACTCTTCATCACAATTGTATCAAATATCATGTCTTGTACAGATTTTCTGTGAAGGATTTAAATCCAGATCCTTCAATATTTGTTGAAATATGTATATATTAGTGTCATTATAACTTAAACAGCACTGTAAACAGTATCACAGATAAACAGATTTTGTGTTTATGTCATTTGCCTGTTACCACGGCAACCCAGGCAAGATATATATGTATCATATATACTTCATCTTTGTGTTTTGTGATATACAGCTGTTCTGAATGTCTCGAGTGCTAGATGTGTACAAACATTTTATTCAAGGATGAGTGGAAGATTATTATTATCATGTTAATGCAGGTTCTGAATATACTTATATCATTGTCTTTTAAGCCATCAATGCTGCTTGCCTGGGTTTACTAATTTTGTATCATAGGTGCAATGACTTCTATTTGACTCTATGTTTGCTCGCCAGCTCTGGGTTGCTGCAGACAGATCTATCCCTTTGTCAACACCATGCAACTTTAGCTGATAAGGTTACTCTGGATTGGTATACCCTCAATGTGTACCCTGGTAACAGACAATATAGGGAGTTGTAACCAGATTTACGTTGCTGTGTCTTATTGTACCCAGACTATATCGAAGTGTACCCAATTTGAGAAATCTCATGATGCATTTTGGAAGTGCTTTAGGGAAAAGAAAAGATGGACTTTAATTGCATGTAATATTCAAAGTACATGTGACATTTGACGGAGACGTGACAGAAAACAATGGATTTTTGGTCCAGTACATGGCCCAGTAAGTATTTCATCAGTTGATAAAACGTGGTTCTGCTTTTGTATTCTGGTGCAAATCATAGCCACAGTTTATTTATTGAAGTTCATCCGTCTATTTTGGCTATCATTGATATATTTGTATTAAAGTCTGTTGTGAGATTCCAAAACTGAGTGACACTTTGCTGGTTCAATGAAAACAACACAGCAACACCTTTCTGGGTACAGTTCGGTATTCTGTTCTTTACCCTGGGAAACTGGCTAGGAGACTGATCAAGAGTGACCCTGTCAGGTTGGATAGTAATACAGCACACGGAGGTCCCATTGAAGGTTGTAATAGTTGTAAACTGGGACATATTACTACAGTCTTAGTGATGGTTTGTAGAACACAGCCCAGATTGGTTTGATCATTGGTTCTAATGGGCAAGCTTGTATATATATGCATCTTGAGACATCTTTGTGAGAGGAGATCACACTTTTTGAATTAGTGGAAATATTTTCGATCTCCAACTTCAGATTTTGATGACACTTGTTTCTTAGAAAGCATTATGCCTACAGTTGTGAAAATTTGTTTGACAAGCATGATAACATCAAGTTAGCATTGATAAAACAGCTTTACATGAAACCTTTCTATATATGCAAACCTCTTCATTCTGGTCCTCTGCATGTGTGCACATGCTGCCTGGTTTGTGGAACAGTACCACTACACACAGTATGCTATGTGCAATGTATGTACCAAGTATGTCACTTTATATTTACGCTCATACACTCAGTATTGAGATCAGCAACATTCAGCAAGCAACACTTGTCCATTCATTTAAAACAAGGAGTTGCAGAGAATGATAACCTTGTTTTCTGAGAAAACAACATAAATGTTTGGCTGCCATCCAGGAAACTTATCAAACTGTTTTCACATCTTGGTTGTGTTGTCCACTGTAAAACTGACATATATGTACCAAATGTTTACATGTTAGCATACATATTTGTAATCCTGTATGCCGGTATGCATGTCTGTCATTCCTCACCCAGCAGTTGTGTACATTTTCTGTAAGTTAGACCTGGGGCACAGGAAGAGTTGTGTCCCGGAGTCAGGGTGCTGGTTTCTTGTTTGAGTTCAATGATGTGATTCATTGTCTGTGAACACCATGACCATGTTTGTTGCTGTCAAAGTCTCACTGGTAGTATCTACATCACTTCAGGATTTCTTCCCATCAGAAGCTGTGTAGTCATGAAGGTTCAAAGCTGCATTGATCCCATCTCCCTCACTCACTCATTTTCCAGGTCTTATGGGGCATTTGGGAAGATTGAGACTTAAATCTTAATTTTTCAAAGGGAGCATTTATTTGAGTGGTAATTTATGTTTTTATGGAGTCAAATGAAGTGGTTCTAATGGTTAGCCAGCTTGGAAAAAGCAATTGTTCGTATAGTGACATTCAGAAAGCTTGATACAGGATACATCACATTTGATCATCGCACCATGGATACAAAATGCGAAACCCATTTGTTCTTTTAGTTTCCCAGCCATGCTGTTGGTGTAGCATTGCAGCAGCACTCTACTTCCACAGTAAAGTCGGACTGTAGATTCTTTCTGCTTCTTTCCCTACTTGCTCAATATATGCTAAGGTTGTTTGCTTACTTAGTTGCAGGAACTGCTCATGTACATACAGCATAGAACAGGTAGCCTAGCTTCTGTTTTTATGCACTTGTTAAAATTACATAATTTCATAAATCTGATTTGTAATTTTATGGGCATGTTTTGAATTAAAAAATATTAAGTACTCAATATTTACATTGCAGTATTCTAGGGCTAGCAGGATTTTACCTGTAGCTTTTACCATTTACGTAGAAAACATTGTCAAATTTAACAAGCAACTTGTACATACGCTTTGAAAGATGCGGGTGTCAAATGGTTTAGCCCAATCAAATCAAAAGACTTTGCACTGAATAAAAGCATTGTTGAATATTTACTCTAAATGAAAGCAGATTTCCTGGAATACAAGAGGCAGATTGTGTACATGGAATGATCCTACAGAGGATGTTGGTTAGTCTTGATCTTGTTGCTTCTGAAGAGAGGTAGAGGGGGCCCATAACCCAGCTGCAAAGAGTTCCTCCCCTCAACTGTCTGGCTCATCATCTCCAAGGTTCACCATAGGTTGCACAGAAATGGTAAACATTACAATCAGTTTGGGGGCCTTGGCAGCCCAGTCGTCTAAGGTGACACAATTCACTGTCAGATTGGCATCCCTTTGGCACACTTGAAACTTGTGATTGTTGGTTCGAATCCCGGTTCACCCTGGTTGTTTCCAGGTTTGTCAGCACCAGCCCCATGCTCATGGGTTTCACTGTAGTGGTAAAGGTCTCACGCCTGCATCACTCCTGGTTTACCACCAGAGTTAGGCTGACACACCTCGGTATAACTGGAACACTGTTTAAAATTCTAATTCCTCCTACACTGGTGTCTGAAATATTGTTCAAATGGGTGTTACAATGCACTCTACTCATTCATTTGTCTTCAGTATCAGCTTACATTGTACAGTCTCAAGGGGCGGTGGGGTAGCCTAGTGGTTAAAGTGTTGGCTTGTCACGCCAAAGACCCGGGTTCGAATCCCCACATGGGTACATTGTGTGAAGCCCATTTCTGGTGTCCCCGTGCCGTGATGTTGCTGGAATATTGCTAAAAGCGGCGTAAAACCAAACTCAGTCAGTCAGTGTACAGTCTCAAGCAAACCAAACTGTTGGATTAGTTCCACGGTACACTTTGCCTTGCAGGCATTATTGAGAGCTGGTCTCATACAGGGTGAGAAGTTTGATGATGTTGATGATGATGTTGCCTCTGTCCCTGTCCTCATGTATGCTGTGTCTGCTTGTACATCCTGCCATCGTTGGTTGTCGACATCATGTGTGCTTTGTGAAGTCGTATAATGAATATTCCCTTCATAACATAATCTTTTGTATGATGTAATCAAACAGTTGCCTCCAATACAACATAGCACAGTGTATATACATCAGCATCCAATTGACTTCAGCTGAACACCTCAACCTACAATGAACACCTCATGTTCTAGGTGAACACCTCAAGCTAGCTGTGTACACTTTAAGCTACAGGTGAACACCTCAAGCTATCATTGTACACTTTAAAGCTACAGGTGAACACCGCAAGCTATCATTGTACACTTTAAGCTACAGGTGAACACCTCAAGCTAGCAGTGTACACTTTAAGCTACAGTTGAACACCTCAAGCTAGCAGTGTACACTTTAAGCTACAGGTGAACACCTCAAGCTAGCAGTGTACACTTTAAGCTACAGGTGAACACCTCAAGCTAGCAGTGCACACTTTAAGCTACAGGTGATCACCTCAAGTTAGCAGTGCACACTTTAAGCTACAGGTGAACACCAAGAGCTATAAGTGAACACACCAAACTGTAAGTGAGCACCTCTAGCTGAAGATAAGACATTTATCAAACCAGGCTGATGTTTGTTTCTGGTCTCTAAGTGAAAGGGTATGTGATGTTACCTGTGTATTTGTTATGTTCTCCTGTAAAACTGACCATGGTATCAGAGCAAGTTGAGTCAAACTAACCCACGACCTTCATCGTGAACAGACTATGTTTTTTGTGCCACTTCCCATGTGAATACATGTCCCTATATATTCTGTCAAGCATATCAACAACAGTCAACAGTGGATATTATTCTGATGCAGTGAAATCAGGCCAGGTGGGCCTTGTTGGTCCGACAGAAATCCATGTTAAGGACTTCTGTTGGAAATGTAGGATCCCGTGTCGACATAGTGTGTATCCAGAACTGATTGTAATTAACTGAAGCTGTTTGAATATTCCATTCTGTATGGACAAATACCCGGCAACTCATATGACGATATGTTTTCTTACCTCCATTATGGTGACGACAGACAGTGTATATAGTTAATGTTACGAAGTGAAGGAGATCAAGGGAAACTCTACCTCACAGCATGCTTTGAAGCAGGAATTTTTCCATAAAGCTGTCCAGGGAATATTGCAGTTTACAATATGCAAGACAGACTTGTAATACTTCCAGTGGACAGCGATGTGGACAACGCCATAACAGTGGTGTAGTGGGCAGCATCAGCCCAGATTGTCAGTGGGTCAGTCCCAGGCCCTGTCATACAATAATGCTTTATAAGATGGTACTGCTTGTTACCGAGCCTTGTGCTTGGCATTACTGGGTTAAAACAACTGTTGTTTCGGAGTCCGTACACTGTGAGTGGGGTGTCCATGCTAAACTGTGCCATGGTATCTCAGCCTTCTGCTATGGTGCCAGATATGCACAGACACAACCATGCATGTACTTTGCCATGTAAGTGCAATACTCTTGAACAATGAAGTGATATTAAACCTCACCTTGGTGAACAATGCCTACTTGGGTGATGCAGACTTAACAGTATCAGCAGGTGGTGCATGCCAATGTCTAGTGATCTCATATCTAGAGTTATGTCCCCTATTCATGCCAGGATCTTGCAACATGGTTCCATCCCCAACCGAAATTGCAAACCATGGTCGTGGGCACCATACCCTTGTTTGTGGATTTCACCAATTCTCTTTGACCTCTATCTCATTAGGCCTCCTCTGCCAGTAACCCTGCTGAGAGGCAAATACTCTTCAAGGCTATAGTATCTGTGCAGTTCATCTGCTTCATGGGTACATACAAGGCTTGGGTATTTCAGACAGAGTGCTGAAACACTAACTGTCTCTTCTAGCATGGAGAACACTGTGACAAGCCTCATAAGTTCACTCAGGTCAGATCAATGTAGCAGATCAGAATATCTTGCCAAGATTACAAACAGTGAGCTTCAAAGAACACAGGCAGCTCATTTGGAAACAGCTGAACAGAACTATCTGGTAAATGCCACTTGAGGCTTGGGCATTATCCTTCACATGTCGGGGCAGTGGGGTAGCCTAGTGGTTAAGGCGTTTGCTCGCCACGGCGAGGACCTGGGTTCAAATCCTTTCTGGTGTCCCCCGCTGTGATATTGCTGGAATATGGCTAAAAAAAAAAAAAGACGGCGTAAAACTAAACTCACTCACTTTCACTCTTCACACATGTACATTGAGAATGATGAAGCCATCATTTACCACTGATCCCTGAAAGCTTCAATATCCCTGAGTATCCTATACACGTGTATTATCAACCTATGAATGTATAGAATTTGCCATCACACACGACCGTGACAGATGCAGGCCTACTGTTGACAGGTCATGTGACTGTTTCCCGGTCTCCTTCACATGCTTTCGTGGCCATCATTTCAGAATTGAGCTTTAACACTAACCGTCACATACTTCGCTCAATACATGCTTGTCTAGATATATTTGTTTGTTGTTGCACATAGCATTTACATTCAGATCATTTTAATAATCTTTTAGGAATTGTTTTCTTCAATAGGATATTGCATTTTTCACAAAATTATCTTTATCCAACTTTGTAAAGCTTTGGAAGCAATTTACATGTCTTGCATTGAAGGAAAGCCTTCACAACAGTTGTCAGACATACACGTCTACAATGTGGTCATTGTTAATTTGTATATAAATCAACTTGAAACTGAAACAAGGCTTGACCAGCATTGTAATGGTTTTTTTCTATATCTGCCACATGTTTTTTTGTTTCTTTTAGCAAAATTAAAATTAAAATAATATTGTTTTCATTCCTGCTCTTATGACTCTTATTTAAGGAAGTGCAACATTTTTCTGCACTGAATATAGTTTCTGTCCAGTAAGGATTCCTTCAGTTTGCATTACATTTAATGATCCTTATATGTTGAGGCCATGTTCCCAGGTGGGGATACTACAAAACAACAGGGCACCTGTAACTGCGTCAAGTGGAAGACACAACCAGTTGTCGCTCGATTTGTGAAGGCTAGAACATGATGTCACTTCCACATCATTTAGTTGTTGCGTTAAAAATATGTTGTTATGAAATTTAAATTTATGTTGATATTCTACTGAATTACAGAATAAAGAACTGTACCTAATATGAAAAACGTGTTTGTCATTTCTTTCCCTGACAGTGATCAGGTGGATAGTAAGTCTGCCTGGAGAGCAGTAAGTTTGGGGATTAACATCCAGCTATGATGCACCAAAAGAAGTTAAAACATGGTACATGGCATTAAGAGAATGAAACAAGAACTGGTAGGCTCAGAGTCCGTATACTGTATCCAGATGGCTTATTCCTATTACACTGTCATGTTACAGCTAGCGCTGTGAAAGTGACGTGTTCTGACCAGTACCAACAGACACGCACGTACACACACACTTCGCCTGAACTTCTTGATCAGGGACCCGTGAAGGTCCGGGTTAGAATTGAACTTCAGTAACCCATGCTTGTCATCAGAGGTGACTAACGGGATCGGGGGGTCAGGCTCGCTGACTGGGTTGACACATGTCATCGTATCCCAATTGTGTAGATCGATGTTCATGCTGTTGATCCCTGGATTGTCTGCTCCAGACTCGATTATTTACAGACCGCCATATAGCTGGAATATTGCTGAGTGCGGCGTAAAACTAAACTCACTCACTCACTCTTGATCAGGGACTGAGCTGATGCAAAGATGAAAATTGCAGTGCCCTGGATAACTTACCACCTGTGCCCCCAAATAGCCTGATGCATTTGAGGAGTGACTGAAAAGTTCTGTCCCTAACCATGATGCTGATTTTGCTTGATTGTTTTAACAAAATCCCATCTGTCAATTACACTGGGTTGCCTAGATCCCACTGGTGTAGAAGATCACAAAAACAGACACTTGATAGTTCTACACTTTTAATAAAGATAAGCTGTATTTGAAAATGGTGCAAACGATAACACCTGACAAGTATAGGATATAAAAATAGAACATTATTCCTCTTCAAATATCATACCTGCATTAACACCAGTCAAGTAACTCTCATTAGCAAATAATAATTCTAGTTAATCAAATAACAATCAAAACTGTAAACAGTGAAACCTTGCTAATCAGGACAATAGCCAGTGAAATCACCTGAGTAACACATTTCCAGATTATTGGATCATGGGTGTAGACTGAAGCTGCCATGAATACATTGTCATTTCCAACCAGACCATTACCAGATTTTCTAAGAGGATCTTAACCCCCGTACTTAAACTGGGACTTACAACAATCAAAACAGTAATATGCAGAAAGGCACCCAGCAGATGAATGAGTCAAGATTAATGAGCTTTCACTGTACAGATAAAGTACACTTTTTCATGTTTTTCTCACACAAACAGTAACTTCTGGATATAACAAACAAGTGTATATACTGGGCCTCTGATGTAATCTTCATTCCCCTCACACAACGGAGATGATGATAGTGGACATATACTGGACAAAAATAGTTAGGGATATATGTAAATTTTGAAATTATGAATAATGATGTATTTATTCATTGACACATTGGTAAAATATCAATCATAAACATACCAATATCCCTAACTTATTTTGTCCAGTATATATAACAGTTGTCCTATACTGACCAGAACAAAGTAGGACATTACTACTGTTACCCATATAAGGTAAATCCATTTACATGTTTAAGACAACATTAACAGTATACGGATTTGAAACAAGTTTATTTTCCCCACTTGCATATGTCGTACAACATTCTTGTACAAAACTGAGGAAAAATTCTTGTTTCTGAACAGTTTTCAACACTTGGAGTTCTCATTCAGTGTTGACAAAACAAATGCTGTAAGGTGCACTTAATATAGCTACAAGATGTACCAGAATGTTGTTTGTTTAATGCCTCTTTTCAGTCACTAATCGTACACGATCGTCACCTGTACTAGTGTCTGGACCAGACAAACCAATGATTGATATAATGTGCAGCGTCAGTTCGACACACCATCAACCAAGGCATTGTCTATCCGATCTGCTTATACACACACTTCCCAGGTAACTACAGACTGACGGTATACTTAGAGGTGAAGGCCAAGTTTGGATGGTTATCCAGTGGTTTTAGAATCCTCTTGGGCATTTGCATAGAATGTAGTATATACCTGTGATATATATGAGAAATATAACACTGATATACTATATATACTTGTGATATATGAGAAATATAACACTTATATGTTATATACATATACTTGTGATCAGTGTATGAAATAAGGCCCAGTCCATGTTTTCTGACGGACAGTCTAAATTTACAGCTAGCCAACCCGATGGTCTGGTAAGAACTTTAGATGTTCCATATATCTGAGTAAATTCAGCATATCTTGGTGTCTGGTCTGGTTAAATCTATTTTGGGCTGGTAACATTTTGAAGTTACCAGCTCCGATGTCTGGCTGTGTTTTTGGCTTATTTCATACACTGCTTGTGATATATGAGAAATATAGCGCTGATATATGATATTGTCATGGAATGGTTGAAGTGAACACACACCTCATACTTCAAGGCCAATAGACGTTGCAAGTATTTTGAGGGCACACATATTTTCTTTATGTCAGAAATGGTCAAGAAAAATATTGTTTTAAACACTTTTCAGGTCAGGCCAATTCTCTACTTTATCAATGAATGTACCCTAAATTTTCAAAAAATTGAATCGGCTCAAGTTATTCTTATCACAAGTTTCACAACTAATTTTTATATGTCCCCTCTGCCTTTACAGCTGTTTCCCGTGATATATTACTTGTGTGGTCCCTGAACGGACGAAGACACGTTGTCATGCTGTCGGTCACGCTGATGGAGCTGACGAAGCACAGGTTCCTGATGGAGGTGGACTAACAATGGCAACACACAAACATCAGTACATAATTGTGACACTGCAGATCTCTGGAGTTACGTAATGTCTTTATATTAGATTCCATATACAGTGATTATACATGTTACTTGCTGATGACAAATGATTTTTCTGTTGATTGTTTGCTAGTTTGATTGCGTCTAATTAAATCACATCAATAACACTACAAGATCTAGGATGTAATGTGAGAGCCAGGAATATGAGTGTGAACATATTACAGTGGTGGTTCCACATGATAGTACAGCTGGTCAAAATCAGCTGAGCCAAGAAGATAACTGGGCAATACAGTTTTAATGTCTGTAACATGCCAAGATACGGCTCTATGTAGAGCTTGAAAGTATTTGTATCTTGTCTAAAAATGGTTTATACAGTTTATATAGCAGACATGCATAATTGTATTTATATCGGTGATGTATATCGGTGATGTGCTTGCATGAGGCAGCATGCATGGCCTAACTGTTTTTGTATCGGTGATGTATATCGGTGATGTGCTTGGATAAAATGATGCATCACCAAAGTGGTAATGTCACCCCTTCCAACTGCTATCTACAACAGATCATAGGCACTGACAGACATCAAATTCATGGAGAACAAACACAAGAGAAGTTTACTTCCCCGTGTCACACAGTTGTGATCACAGACTGTAAACACTGCAGGTTTTTGAAGCTGATTCAACTTACAAATGTACACATATATACTTAGTTGTAATACTGACTAAGACAAAAACACACTGACACCAGCCTCTAGTGGCCTGCTGTAATGCATCTTGGTATATAGTGTGCACTGCTTCCTTCTGAGACATGATAAACAACCTGGGTACATTCACCACTACAGCGTCGGGAAGAGACAAATGAACTGCTCCAGAGGTGAGAAAGGGTTTAATATTGTGTTCAAGGAAGAGGCAGATGAACTGCTCCGATGAATGTCACTTTCAAATAAAGAGAAAGTACCTTGCCAATTGGTTTCCACTGTTCCAACTGCTTACTCCCCTTGTAATACAAAAGTAATAGGTTTAATCTATGATCGCGTTTGTTAAACAACTTTTTCATTTGAATAAAATATTAGATTTACATTGGCAAGGTAAAATTATGAGGATTATAATCTTAAACTTTAGTGATAGATGAAATTCATGATGCGTTCGCCACTGCAAACAAACTATAGTTACAGTGAGTGAGTGAGTGAGTGAGATAAGTTTTAAACCGCTTTTAGCAATATTCCAGCAATATCATAGTGGGGGACACCAGAAATGGGCTTTACATATTGTACACATGTGGGGAATCGAACCCAGGTCTTCGCTTTCACCACTAAGCTACCCCGCCATCGCCATGACTTAAAGAAAGATGGAGACAGGTTGACACTTCTGAGAGAAAGGTAGAATGGTGAATGGGTCCAGAGTCTTCATGCTAACTGAATGCCAAAATAACACACTAATGACTTGAAGGTGGACAATTACTTGCATACTTTGAGACATAGAGTACAGTGTACACAACTACAGATGAACTGTACATAATGCCATCAGACCAGTTGGGAATGAAAATGTACAGGGTATACAATCAGGTGTACAAAGTAGCAAGAGTTGTCAAGGAGTTGTCCTACTGTGGATCCATTGTCCAGTGTAGGTACCACCAGGAGGTGATGTTTTGTACTGTCACTGTAACCACGCCTGATTGTACCCATGTTGACAACCAATAAACTTCACAATCATGCAGCACTTCATCGAATCTGAACACCACAAGATACTGAATCCATTACAGTTAGAAGTTTTATACAGATGTTTGTCTGACGTGATAATGAACCATATTGTGACTGACTGACTGAGTTTTACGCCGCTTTTAGCAATATTCCAGCATATTGTGACTGACTTGAGTTTTACGCCGCTTTTAGCAATATTCCAGCAACATCATGGCGGGGGCCACCAGAGATGAACCATATTGTCAAAGAAACAAGCTCTTCCCTATCGTAAGTCACACTCAAACTATCCCATTCCCTACCCACACCCCTTCCACCCACTTTCAGCTCAGGACCACCCAGTCTCATGGCATCATCCCTGCCTCTCTCCCCTCATGTTCATCCCCAACCCAGTCTTCTTACCCCTCAACTCGTCCCCACAATTCCCATGACCCACTCAAACTGATACTGGAGCACAAACATAACAAAAACATGTCAATAACAGTAACCTGCTTTGAAGGAAATGCACTCATGACTGTCCATGTACAATGATATGATTGGTCACATGACACACATCACCCCCTCAACCTGGTCACATGACTAACTGCACCTCCTCAACCTGGTCACATGACACACCTGTCTTCTTCAGTCTGAATCCTCCTCGTCACCATAGTCCTCGAGGTAGCGAGATGATGTTGATCCCACTGCAACATCAACAACAATGTACAGACAACTTCATCATCATCATCATCATCATCTTCACGTATTTCATGGCTGCTAAACAGTATCACTATCTGGTAGCACTTCTTCACAAACACAGACCACTGTACCTGGGGAGCACCTGCTTAGCCTATATGCATTGATGTGACATGGCAGAAACAAGGATTCACTCTGACTGTGCTGTTTGGCCTGCCTGTTTCATCCATGCTTGTAGGTTTCACCAAGGCAGTACATATCTACGACCTACATTTCGGCCTGTCCTCTCACACTGGACATCACTGAAACACTGGTGTAGTGGAGTTGAACCCATCCCACTCTCCGGTAGGTATTCCATCTTAACCTGCACATAAGCACTGGACCCCCTCCCTGGTCTGGTAATGTTGTACCATACCAACAGAGTTTGTTGTTGTAACCCTGGACGACACTCAGTGTCTAGGAGTAACACAAGGACTGGTGGGCACTGAGCCCCCTCCCTGGTCTGGTAATGTTGTACCATACCAACAGAGTTTGTTGTTGTAACCCTGGATGAAACCCCGTGTCTAGGGGTAACACAAGGACTGGTGGGCACTGGACCCCCTCCCTGGTCTGGTAATGTTGTACCATACCAACACAGTTTGTTGTTGTAACCCTGGATGGCACTCAGTGTCTAGGGGTAACACAAGGACTGTTGGGCACTGGACCCCCTCCCTGGTCTGGTTGTTGTAACCCTGGTAATGTTGTACCATACCAACAGAGTTTGTTGTTGTAACCCTGGATGGCACTCAGTGTCTAGGAGTAACACAAGGACTGGTGGGCACTGAGCCCCCTCCCAGGCCTGGTAATGTTGTACCATACCAACAGAGTTTGTTGTTGTAACCCTGGATGGCAATCAGTGTCTAGGAGTAACACAAGGACTGGTGGGCACTGAGCCCCCTCCCAGGCCTGGTAATGTTGTACCATACCAACAGAGTTTGTTGTTGTAACCCTGGATGTCACTCAGTGTCTAGGGTTAACACAAGGACTGGTGGGCACTGGACCCCCTCCCTGGTCTGGTAATGTTGTGCCATACCAACACAGTTTGTTGTTGTAACCCTGGATGGCACTCAGTGTCTAGGGTTAACACAAGGACTGGTGGGCACTGGACCCCCTCCCTGGTCTGGTAATGTTGTACCATACCAACAGAGTTTGTTGTTGTAACCCTGGATGACACTCAGTGTCTAGGGTAAACACAAGGACTGGTGGGTACTGGACCCCCTCCCTGGTCTGGTAATGTTGTACCATACCAACAGAGTTTGTTGTTGTAACCCTGGATGACACTCAGTGTCTAGGGGTAAACACAAGGACTGGTGGGTACTGGACCCCCTCCCTGGTCTGGTAATGTTGTACCATACCAACAGAGTTTGTTGTTGTAACCCTGGATGGCAATCAGTGTCTAGGGTTAACACAAGGACTGGTGGGCACTGGACCCCCTCCCTGGTCTGGTAATGTTGTACCATACCAACAAATTTTTTATGTTGTAACCCTGGATGGCACTCAGCATCTAGGGGTGACACTGAGCCACCACAATGTGTCTCACAGAGGCATCCATGAACAGTCAGTGGGATAGTAGAACGCAACTGGATAAGATACAAACACACACAAACAAGACACACACACCACACACGCATGCATGCACACACACTCAAGACACACAAAGTGCTATATGTGCAATAATCTGGAATATGACGCTAAACTTTGTTTAACTTAACATCACACAAACAATTTTCTTGGAGCATGCATACATATGACGGAAAGGAAACATGAACTCACTTGCTTCTTTTAACGCTGCTGCTGTTGCAGGGTCCTTCGCAAGGTCTAATGGTAGCTTCTTCTCGTTGTTGGTGACGTTCGCCCTAGCACCTACATCAACAACCAATGGAAGTCAACTGGCAGGGTGGATGAGGTAAGTATACTACAATGCAGGACTTATGTTGATAATGAGTGAAATGTAACGACTGCTCCATTTATTGGGAAACATTGACAGTAACCACAATGTGTAGAACGAAATATGATATCGACTATCTCTATCAGACATCTTAACAATACTCCCTACTTTCATATCTAAAACCACCTTGACAATTCAGCTCAGGACATAACATATTGACAATATATTCCTTCATGTCTGGACAGCTAATTCTCTTTATAACGATATATGGACAGTTTATATCCCAAACATATGCTGACAGCATATTCCCTACTTCTGTATCAGACAACATCTTGAAAGGAGATCCCTACTTCTGTATCAGACAACATCTTGACAGGAGATTCCCTACTTCTGTATCAGACAACATCTTGACAGGAGATTCCCTACTTTTGTATCAGACAACATCTTGACAGGAGATTCCCTACTTCTGTATCAGACAACATCTTGACAGGAGATTCCCTACTTTTGTATCAGACAACATCTTGACAGGAGATTCCCTACTTTTGTATCAGACAACATCTTGAAAGGAGATTCCCTACTTTTGTATCAGACAACATCTTGACAGGAGATTCCCTGGTTTTGTATCAGACAACATCTTGACAGGAGATTCCCTACTTTTGTATCAGACAACATCTTGAAAGGAGATTCCCTACTTTGTATCAGACAACATCTTGAAAGGAGATTCCCTACTTTTGTATCAGACAACATCTTGAAAGGAGATTCCCTACTTTTGTATCAGACAACATCTTGAAAGGAGATTCCCTACTTCTGTATCAGACAACATCTTGACAGGAGATTCCCTACTTTTGTATCAGACAACATATTGACAGGAGATTCCCTACCTTCGTAAACAACATCTCTACAGTTTATTAACTTCTCTTAACTAACAACGTCTGGACTATCTTTCCCTACATTTAGCTAACAACATCTTGACAGGTAATTCCCTACCTTTATTTAACAACATCTTGACAGCTTCTGAGTGGTTCTTCCAGGCTGCAGAATGAAGTGGAGTGTCTCCCAGCTTGTTCTGAACAAAAACGCACATCAATGTTTCTATATAATATAGCTTGATGTACCCTCTGTGTGGTTGTGTGCCCCAAGCTGACAGATCAATATTGTATGATGCACAAAAGTGTGGCCATGTGACCCCAGCCAACAGAGGAGTGAGTGAGTGAGTGAGTTTAGTTTTACGCCACACTCAGCAATATTCCAGCTATATGGCGGCAGTCTGTAAATAAGCGAGTCTGGACCAGACAATCCAGTGATCAACACCATGACCATCGATCTGTGCAATTGGGAACCGATGACGTGTCAACCAAGTCAACGAGCCTGACCACCCGATCCCGTTAGTCGCCTCTTACGACAAGCATGGTTTACTGAAGATCAATATTTTAACCCGGACCTTCACGGTCCAGCCAACATAGGAATACGGTTTGATATACTGTCTGTTGTTATGAAAATGAAATTTTTAGAGTAAAATTAATATTTTTATACTTATCCTGACTCATGCTTATTTGCTTGTCTTCTTCTTCTGGCGAACCTAGTGGAACACTTGTATCTCCCAATTGAAGTTCCCTTCAATACAAAATCACTCATTAGTACTCACCACGAGTTACCTCCCTTCTGCAAGCGCGGGAACGAGGGCGCCACCCAAGCCCATGTGCCTCACTCTCTCCTTTTTTGTTTTGAGCCCAACACTTTATTTTTCCCGAGAAATCCAAAGTGTTAAGTGGGGAGGACGGGAGGAGCTTACCTCATGAGTCAGGATAAGTATAAAAATATTAATTTTACTCTAAAAATTTCATATTTTTCTTATCCTGACTCATGCTTATTTGTTTGTAGAATCCTAACGGATTAGGAGGTGGGATTATATATACTTTGGATTTTAACTAATTAGTGATTTGAACTGAGATGATTGTAAAACCCTATGGGAACTTCATGAAGGCACTGAACTGAATTCCTGCTGTTAATTTAACAGCTGCCTTTTAAAGAAGGTTATTACAATTTACTGAATATAATAAAGTATATAGAACATTAATTAAGCTTAAAGCCATTAATGTGATAGTATAAACTGTTGATAGTTTATAATGAATACTTTTATAAGAACCAAAGTAGTAAGCTTACAATATGGATATATATAAGCTATAACATAATTGTGCTTAAGGTATAATGATAACTTAAGCTGTATAATAGTAACCAACTACTGAGAGTTTGATACTAATACATGTTATGAAATGAACATATGACCGAGCTTAAGGATAGAACCTTAAGCTGAACATATATATAATAGTAGAAACTCGTAAGAGTTGTAGGTATATATATATTATGATATAGAATCATAGTACTGAGCTTAAGATAATATTTCAACTTAAGCAAATATATATAGATAGCATGTAGCTATTAGTACTGTTATCAGATAAGTATAAAATCAACAAGATAGACTTATCTTCTCCGAACTGTCAACTGTTGAGCGAGGACCATGGGACCGAAATGATGGATACCTGAGACGTCCTAGGTGGTGATATCTCTCAGATAGTGGTTGGCAAACACCATATCGGATCTCCAAAAACATCCCTCCATAATGGTATTCAATGAGCAATTTCCATGTAAAGCCAAAGTTGAAGCTAGTGCTCTAATTTCGTGAGGATTAGCAGCACTTGGAGGGTCCAGTCCAGCTGCCTTGTAGGCTCTTAGTATGACAGTTCGGATCCAGATAGAAATGGTAGTGCGCTTACACTTCTGTCTGTGAGGCGGTAGATATAGGGATAAACAATCTTTGAATTTCCCTCACTTTGCTTGGATCTTTGGAGATATATTTTCAGTGCACGCACAGGGCAAAGTGATAAGTCCATCGATCCCGCGGTCCAAGTATGGATGAGAGAGCTGGGACATGGAACAACCTGTCTGGTTGACCTGGTAGTTGATTTTTCGCTATAAAATCCCAGCGAAGTCCCAGATGAGCCATGTTATGAATATCATCAAATCGTGTTCTCTCGTAATCCAAAGCTGAATTTCAGACATCCTGGCGCAGTGGTTAACGCTAGCAGGAATAAGGTTTTGTGGGTCAATGATTGAAATGACGAGATAACAATGGCTCGTGAAGCCTCACTTGTGAGGTGTTGAAGTACAACATTTAGATCCCAGGCTGGGCTTTGAAACTTCCGCTTCTGGTCTTCCAATCGAAAGGCACGTAACAAAGCGAAAGTAACTCCAGTGTTTTAGTCAATTTGACGCCCGCTCTCATAGTTATGACTGAACTTATGGCTGCAAGATAAGTGGACAGTGTAGATCCTTTTAGATTCTTAGTTTGACGAGGAAACATAAGAAATCTGCCACTTGAGGATGTGTAGCAAATCTGGCTGAAAATCCTTTCTTAGCAGCATAATTGACAAATCTGAGCCATTTGTCATCGCATTGCCACGTTACAGTAGAGTTACGAGTGCAAGCTTGACCGCCTTCTGGTGGAATAACCTCTCTTATTCAAACATGCCTTGATACAATCCACACGTGAAGTCGGAATGCTTCTGGTGTTTTGTGCACTTGTTTGGTGTGCGGATGTATCAGTAGATTGAGCCGTAGTGGGAGCTGAAGTACTGGTTTTCCGATTCCTAGTATGAGGTCTGGAAACCACGCTCTCGCTGGCCAGTAATGCAGACCAAAATGAGATCGAGGCTCTTCGCTTGACTGATTTTTAGCAAGACTTGTGGGATTAACGCAGGAGGCGGAAAGCCGACGCCGCTTAGTCCCTCCCACGATATGCTTAGTGCGCCCGCTGCCCAGGCTAATGGATCTGGCACTGGCGATATGTAAGGTTGTCAGTTGATTGTTGAATCGGGTGGCAAATAGGTCTATCAGAGGAGATCCTATTTCCATGATTATCTGATTGAATATCTCTGTGTGGAGCATCCATTCTGTCGGGCGACGGTTGGTGCGGGCCGAGAGAGCCGCCTGCTAACACATTCTTTGCTCCTGGAATGTGGCAGGCTTTGATACGTGCATGTTTAGACTGTCGACTAATTCAACAGTCTGAAACATCGAAAGTGAGTAGATTCAGTGATCTTGTTGACCCTTGTTTGTTCACATAAAACGCCACTGTTGAGTTGTCTGTGTGAATCATTAACTGAGCCGCTCTGTAACAGGTTGCTCCAGTGACCTATGGCGCTTATGACTGCTTGCATCTCTAGCAGATTTATGTGACATAAGCTCTCTTGAATGCTCCATAGGCCTGACGCTGTCCTGCCGGGTAAGGTGGGCTCCCCAACCTTTTAGTGACGCCCCACGAGATGTGTTTTCGATTCCGCTCTACTAAGGAGACGCTTCGCGCAAACATTCAATCTCTTGGTCCACCAGAGTAGATGTGGTTTGACGTAATCTGGTAGACTGAACGTAGAGGGTCCTCGAGATGGGCATTGATGAGGACTTGTAATGGACGCAATTGAAGCTTGCCTCTGAGTGTCAAGTCTTGAGCTGATGTGAGTAGTCCCAGTAGACTCTGCCACTGTCGAGTGGTAACGGAGAGAGTAGGGCTTGGGGATCAGTTGTTGTATCTTGATCCATCTGTCCTCCGGGACTACCATACGATTCTGAGCTGTAAGGAATCGTGATACCTAGAAACTGCAGATCCTGGGCGCGGGCTCTAGGTCCGACTTGAGTAGATTTTTAACCAGCCTAACTGGGCGCTAGTAGCTTGATTGTAAAGTTCAGCTGTAGTCTGAGACGCTGTGGATCTAGATCCACCTGTATACCGCCGCCTCAGGTAAAATGCATTCCGCAGTCCTTGACGATGTAGGTATGAGACAATAGGCTTGGTTACTCTTGTGAATACCCATGGGGTCAAGTGATTCAAGGGAAGTACTTTCCATTGGTAGTGTATGCCGCCTAGCATAAACCTCAGATATTTCCTTGAACTGGGATGAATCGAATGTGTAGGTATGCGCCCTGCAGATCTATACTTACCATGTAATCTAGTGGACGAATCAGATGACGGAGTTGAGGTAAATGTATCATGCGAAACGCTGGTGGTTTGCATAGAAATTCTCTGTTGAATGTGCTCATGTTGTAAATGAGACGATACTTCTCTTTGGAATTCTTTTTTCGCACTAGGAAAACTGGGGAGTAGAAACCTGGTATGATGTTTCGCTGATCGAGAACTTCTAAGGCCTGTTTGTTTAGTAGAGACTGAACTGTTTCTCTTAACATCGGTAGTTGTGCCAGATGAACGCTTGAACCCTGGTGGGTTGACTGTTAACGTGGCTTGGCCTTGAGTTGTAGACGATATCCGCACTCGAAGGATGTTGGATACATACGGATCTTGAAGTATTCCCCAGTTTTCCCAGTGTAGTTGTAGACGCCCACCCACTTGAGAAGGTTGTACTGGGACGACTGGGGTGGAAGACTCCAGTCGCTCAACCTGACTTTCATCGCTTAAATCCATCGGCACCTCTGGATGATCTGCCTCTAGCTGATCCTCCTCTGAACTTGTTGTACGGGCTTAATTTAAAAGAATCCTTGGGATTATTAGCGGCCGCTAATTTCTTATCCCGCGCTCTCTGTAGCCCTGAAAACTTAGACTTACCCGAAAGTACCTCTGTGCTGATTGTTTAAAGACGCTCGCTAACGTATCCATCGATCTAATCATGAGTACTTCTCTAGAATCTTTAGATACTTCCTTGGAAACCTTGTTAATGTTGCCACCAAACAGTAAAGGTGAAGACCATGGAGCTGTGTACAGGGGCTCTGTGAATTGTTTATTCCAAGAGCAGGAGGCTAGTAATCCTTGCCGACGTGTCATGGTAGTAGTTTCAGTAAGTGCTGAAAGATGGTCTGTAAGGAATTGTTGATCTTTTCTCTGCATAAGTAGAGCTGAATAGATCATCCTGTCCTCCTCATCCGTAGAGTTCTTGAACTTAGTGATGAGAGTCTCGTTAATAGTCCTAGATCTATTAAGTCCGAAGAACATCCTTCTGGAAATGGTATCTAACTGGGCCATCTTGTGATCGCCTCACCCTATAACTTCTGGACTTGGAATCACTGATAAGTTTAAAGTTTTCATCAATCTCCTGAGTCTTGAAAAAGGGCTCCATATT